GGGTTATGACCCAAATCACAAAAATGACTTAATGCAGAATTTGTTTGTCCATGTGACATGGATTTGTTTGGAAACTGATTGCCCTTCTTATCCTTCTGGCACAATAGACACAGATGATGTGCTAGCTTTGGTATGATTCAGTTTCAAAACTGAAACAGGTAGCAGTCCCAATCACCACAGAGGAGTACAGTTACATATTGGCAAAATCATCAGAAATTATTAATTTTATCATTACATATAATGAGTAGGGTTGAAACAAGTATTCAGTACAGATAATATGTTTTTTACAAATACGGGTATCATTCGAGTAAAATGTGTCAATATCCGTGATGATGATGACAGGAAATCCTCATTTGCGTAGCTGCATTCAGTGTCTTACTTTTGTGATCAAAAATTATCTGAAGTTCTGTAAATAGTTTTCTAATGAATACTAAATATAGCAACTTCTGAAAAACCCATACAATTTCTGGCTTAAAATAACAACATTATTAGGTTAAGCTCCACCCATTGCAAGTACAGGTACAGATAAATTAGTTGGTTGTATGGGTACAGATAACCGTGTACTCATTCATCCCCAATAATTAGTGTGTGTTGTTTTTTTTTTTTTTTGTTTTGTTTTTTTGAAAATCTACATTAAAGGGCCAAAGTTAGTATAGACCAAGTATCTGGGATATTAAAGAAGAAATACAGAATTATGTATTTACAATTAATTTTACATTCAATTTTTTTTTAATTTTACAATAAAACTATGGGAGAAAATAGTTTTTTTCTAATGTTGTTTCAAAACAAAATATCATCATATGCCTCAGGAATTAATTTTTTCTAATTCACACTGTTAATCTAAGGCAAGCAATTTAGAGAAAAAGTAAAATAGCTATGTAATAATAAAGAAATCAGTGAAAGAAAATAAACTGTTCATGATCAAATACATTTTCTACTATTTTCACCTTGTTCATTGAAAAAATATATTTATATTTTGATTCACTACTGATTTTGCATTTTTAGTCCATTTACCTTGAATCATAAGGCATGCATTTTGCAAAACATTCAACATGTATTTGGTCATATTTTTAAGTGTAATTTTCCTTCCTTCCAAGCATTCACTGGATTCAGTTTATTTCCATATGGTGTGACAATTAAATGGCAGACTCTTGAAGTTTACTTGAGTTGTGTAATGCATCACAGTGAACATGAAGCCTGCTTTCATTCTGTCTTCGTTATATAATTGTTGTGACAGAACAATCTGGACTTCAAACTGCAGCAAGTTATGTGATGCAGCCACTCAAGCAAATTTCAAAAGTTTGCTAGTCCATTTTTATGCCATAAATAAAATTAAAGACATATAAAAAATCATAAATTCTACAACATGCATTTAAAAAGCAGTAAATATACATGATTTGTAGTCAAGAGGCTAAAAACTGCAAAGACAGGCATGGTCTGAAGACAAACCAGTTCAGGATAAAGACCATATACTTTAATTTAGCTGTCTGTCAAACCTCATTCTGAAATAAAACAATTTTACATTTTTAACCAAACAATAAGTGCGTGTGATAGATTAGTGTTCAGAAAGATGCTGTCAGAGAAGCTTGAGTAAAAATAAATACAGAAAACTAGATTAGCTGCAATGAGAGAGCCAAATTAAAACATATACAGGAAAACAAGCAGCCCACATAGTGATTTTCATAAATGTAGAGCCATCCAGACAGGTGCTAGTGCTATTATTGGCCCATAATCAGCATGCATGGGAGAGGGTGAGAAAGAGGGTGAGGGATAGAGAGAGATGTGAAGATGTGAAGAGAAAGGGGAGAGAGCAGAAGGGAGGGAGGACGAGACGGATAGCGAGAGGGAGTGGGGGTGGGGCAGATTTTTTGGGGGGATGTCACACTGCGAGCTGTCAGCTGCCATCATTCTCCTGCGCCACCTGAGACAGGGCATGCCACACCCTAGCGCTCACGCCTCTGTCGCCCATGGCAACTACAGGGTTGTGTATGTGCGTGAGTGAGTAAGTGTGTGTGTGTGTGTGTGTGTGTGTGTGTGTGTGTGTGTGTGTGTGTTGTGTAGGACTCTGGAGGTAATGAGGTGCACACACATGCACGTGAGCCCTGGTTATGGAGCTGTGGAGTTGTGGTTGCCTCAGCATTTAATTGATTAATTGTTGTAATTATTTGGGCGGGAAGGTCATCCCAACACTGAGGCTGGCTAGAAGGTCACTCTCACGCTGGAGGGACTGTCCTCCTCTAGGGACCACACAGGCCATATGGGTGTGTTTATGAGTGTGTGTGTGTGTGTGTGTGTGTGTGTGTGTGTGTGGTGGCGAGGAAGAGAATCCGGCAGCATTTGAAGGAATAATTTTGTTCGTATCCATGTGTGGTGCAGGGAACTGCTGACTGTCTCTTCATGCAGGATTGATCAACACAGTCAAAATGTCTGCCTGGCTATTACCGTGACCTGAAAATCCACTTTTTTTCATGATTCTGTTCACATCTTTCCATGTCTGTAGCTGACTCTCCAAAATCTTCCCTGCCAAACACCCTGACAAAGAGCTGGCAACTAAACACCAAGAGCCAGCTTGACGAAAATGGCTCTGTGTGTGTGCACACGTATATGTGTGTGTATATGAGTGTGTGTGTGTGTGTGTGTGTGTGTAGTTAGGGGACTTTCCAGTCCATGGACAGATGGAGAGACTGGGAGACAGGAGGCTTGCTGGCATGAGCTACGCACAGGCTGGTGTGCACGTAAGAGTGTGTGTATGTGTGTGTGTGTCTGAGTGGGTGCGTGCATGTGCATATGCATGTGAACATACATGTCTGTTGTATACACGTGTATCCAGTGTGTATTACATTAGGTCATATGCATGTGTTTATGATGTTGGTGTGTGTGTGTGTGTGTGTGTGTGTGTGTGAGAGAGAGAAAGAGCAGTAACACCTTCCCTCAGTGTGTTCAGCGCCTCTCTCCAGCTTTGACCTTGGCAGGGAGTGCGGACAGGTCACCACACCAACTGTCTATGTGGCTGTGTGTCTGTCTTCTACAGGGTTTTTAATACACAGGGTCAAGACGCTGCGCTTTGAGACACTTCACCCCCACTGAGAGAAGGTGTTGGTTTAGGATGCCAATACGACCGCCGTTTGGGTGACCGTATTTGCAGGTGCTGGGCCGCAGCTAGGTGATACTGTTGTCAGTATCACTGCGATTAGCTGGGTGTAAGACACACTTTTATAAAGATGTGGCAGAGTGATACATTTGATAACAAAGATATTATTTATGTATGTAAGCCTAGCGATCTTAAAGGGGCACTCCACCAATTTTACATGATAATCAGTTTACCTGCTATAAAATGTCATCTGTGGCTGCTAGAGAAATTCTCAAAGTCTGAAAAAACAACCCTCATGATGTCACCAGCGTTACCTCAGACTGGGCGTTAGACAAACCGAAGCTGTTTGAAAGATTGAAAGACGTCAACATTACCAGTTAGGGAGGGTCTGATGAAAGACAATATTGGGTTGCATTAAAAAACCCAATCTCACTCCCAACTTGTCAAATACTGACGCTTGGTCAGTGGCCCTGGGTATCAGACACCGACGCACAAGGACACCCCTTAGCAGCAGTATGAGACGCACTAGTCTTTGGCATTTTTTGACGCTCTGGACAACTACCATAATATAAAGAGCTAGAAAGTCTTCAGAGGGCAGGCAGGAGTGTACTTGGATGGGTCAAACAAACTCTGGACTTCCACCCAAGAGTCAGTGTAAAACCAATTGACTCAATTGAGTTATTTTAATAGCACCGTAGTGTGCTGCTATGTGTAGCATACTATGCTAGCAACGTACATCACCTGATGCACGTTAAGTGTATTACATGATATCACATTATGTCAGTAACAAACACTCATGTTTCTCTCTAAATTTAACCACGTGCTTTTGTTGCCTAAACCTAAAGGAAGTAGCGAAGTGTAAAACTGCCGTTCTGAGTTCATTTTAAAAGAGACTGTATATATTTCACTAGCAAAAACTGTAAACCTCCTGTGAGCATGGAAGTTTATTTTGAAAAGACATGCATGGAACAAGCATAAATTTACTTGCCATCCCTGGGTGGCAAAAACTGACACAGTAAGGGTACCTAACACGTCACATTATGATGAGTAGGATCACAGAGCAAGTGTCTGTGAGTTGGTGAGAATGTGTTGGCATTGTGGGAAATGTAGGATTCAGTGCTTTTTGAAGCCTGACCCATACTAGGGATTAAAAGTCAAGATAGAAGATCAGCTTCAGGTGCTTCAATTTTGACCACTCTTATTTAAATCCGTCTCTTGTGAGTCCCTCATCTTACTGAAGTTCCGATACAAAAATGCTGGATTACACCTTTTGTGATTGGGCCAGTCTAAGAATGAGTTAATATCATTGGAGCAAAAAGTGTGGAATCCAGAAAAAGTGCTGCTGTGCCACTCTCTTCGTTATGACATAATTTTAAATTACACACATTTTTTGAATTGTTAACACAATACATTCATACACATTGTATATGAATTGTTAGTACAAATGTTTTTGGGAGACCCTGTGATGAACACTGCATCAGCATCACTCGTTTGTGTCTGGCAGGGGCCGCCAACTTGGCTAAATGTTGTCAGCACTCTCACTATGTCACTCTAAATAGCAATAGCAAGCCAAATGGAGGTGGTATTACGTTAGCTTAGCATAGGGCTGAACCGCTGGCACTCCCCACCTTACTGGTTGATTTCCAAATACATGTAGGAGAAGGGGAAAAGGCTGAAACGGCAGTGTTTTATTACTCTTTAAAGGGATAGTGCACAGTTCATATCTCTGGGTGCATTACTTGATTCAAGAAACATTCGAAAACTTTGTTACACTAAGGTAATGTCACCATTCAAAAGTCCTTCAAAGTGCATGCAGAGTCCTAAAAGTTTTGATGTGGTTAGTAAGAAAAACGAGTAAAGTTCCCTTTGACCATTGACTTAGTTTGCATCCAGTGTGTCCAACCCTCACCTGCTTTGATGTGGATGCTGGGGCTACGAATCTTGCCTGCTTGGTTCTCAGCAGTGCAGAAGTACTCGTTGTCGTGGATAATGCTGTTATAGGCGGAGGGGGAGAAGGGGTAGAGCTGGAGGGTGCCGTTGGCATGCACGTGGCGGATATGGGGCACGTCGTAAATGTCGTCTCCGGCGGCCAGGTACCAGCGCAGGAAGGCATGGGGGGCGCCGCCCGCAGGGCAGGGCAGGGACACCCCCACCGAGCTGGAGAAGGTCACCCGCTGCAGGGAGGCGTTCACAAAGTACAGCCGCGTAGAGACAACATCCTCACTGTTGACTGTTAGGATGAGAGAAGGGGAGACAGAGTTAGTCAGTTGGTAAGTGTCAGACATAAAGGCAGCATTCACACATCAGGTGGGGAGCATGTGCGCAATTAAAGTGCACTGCTGAGGAATAACTGAAATGGTAATTATTTAAAGGTCCAGTGTGTTGGAATATAAGTATGTCTTCTTTAGTATTTAATCACCTAAAAAATTAGACTTGTCATGTTTTCAGTATCCTAGCATGAGTATGTTTATATCTACATAGTGGGTTGGTCCTCATCCACAGTGTCTTCTATATTGCACTACTATGTTTCTACAGTAGCCCAGAGCAGACAAACCAAACCCTGGCTCTAGAATGGGCCATTTGCTTATTCGCATCAACCACCATAGTAAGTAGCTCCTCTGTGATAAGCAGCACCAAAAAAAAAACAAAACATTGTGAAACTACTTTATTCACTAGGCTAGCAAACCATCTCTGATGTGCCGAACAGAGTCAGGGAAGTGATTTGTAACCTACTCTGCTTTATTTCGTGTTTTACTGGTCTTAATCACCTGGTCCATTTGTTTTGGAGAGGAAGAGACCTCTGTGGATAATTCTGCTCCTAGTAAGAACCTCCTGATCAATGAACACTGTAGGAATTCTAACCGGAAAAACTTTCAGCTGGATGCAATCTGCAATCCTCACCACTAGCTGCCACTAAATCTTACACACTGCTCCTTTAAGTGACACTTGAAACAGATGATGAAATAAATGACAACACTGCATAAAAAGAAAATAATGTAATGATGTATTAACACATGACCTGCCTAAAAATACAACTAACACGGATGAAACATCATAATGCAAGTACCAAGTGTTCACACAAGCTGTGCACAAATACAGTAATGATATAGTAAAAGGAGTGCTCTGCAAAAGTATTATAAAAGTGCTTCTGCCTCTATTCTTTACTAAAATAAATGACATCAATCATGACTGTATAATAAAGATGGACATGTCAGTTTCCCAAAAGTGAAGCCAAAACATCTCACCCCCTGATGACTGGCTGCAGTTTATGTTTTAAACTCCGCCCCCTGGCATATGGGCCAAACTAAAAGATCAATGTACACATCAAATTTTTCCCAAAGATGGTGTCTGTCAATTTTGGTAGGTCTCATCCCACTGCTGTATGTTAAAGTGATTATTTTCTGGATAAGTTTGGTTTTAATTAGTTATTTCATGCTATAAAAAGAGGGGCTGGGGGTGTGCTTGTGATCAATGTTGCTGCTAGCAACTGGTTGGATGGGTATATGGGTGGGAATTATGACGACGCAAAGATCACTATTGTGCAGACTCTGGCTCCAAATGATGTCACCAGCGCAAGATGCAGATTTGCCAACTAGCTTTTTGCAAGAAAGTTTTAAAAATGAAAATACTGACTTTTAAACAGGTCATTTTTCACAAAACAACATGAACCTGGCCAAACTCTCCTTCAAAGAAAAACAAGTTTAAAAGCTTTGATCAAATGAATGTTTTTTAAACGTATTTGTAACAAAATGTCTCGACAGTTGTGTGCCATTTCACTAATTAAACTCATTTTCCATTTGCCATGCTTCATATCTGATTTGTCCTTGAGCTATATCGTTATTTTCTTTTCAGGCACAGTCTGCTGAGATGAATTCACAGTATTTTCCATGAGTCAATTCACTGGTTCACTGGATTTTAAGGTAAGCATAACTCACTTTGCAATATTACTTAAAATACTGCCTGATCTAACAAGAACTTACACAGACACCCACATAAAGTACACAAGCTGGATCTCCAGGCATTCAGGTCACCTCAACCCAAACAACTTCCTCCCTGTGTGCCAAACTGCAGCCATCCATCTCATCCCATATGCATTATCCTAATATCTCTAATCTAATATATGTGTCCAGAGAGCCCTTTAGAAATCTGCCTCTCAATAGAAGGGAAAAATGGGTCACATAATTCGACTCCGCCACCACCCTCGTCTTTTCTGTTGATATCCTCCGTCATTCAGGAAAACAAAGTACTCACACGGGCGTGATAGCAAACTGCTGCACTTCTTAGGCCTGCTCGAGCCTGTCATATCCACTGTTCACTATCTGTAGCCGTACAAGCCCGAGGAGCCGGATACCACAGATGTTTGCTGTAAAACAATGGTACTGTGGCACAGATGAAGAGCTACAGCCAGATAAGTTGTCCTAGGGGAGATAGACCACCATATATCCTCTCTCTCAAATGCCCTCTTCCAGTTTAGAGTGGGGTAGTGAGGTGTCTCTCAAGATCTGTGTGTTTCTGTGTGTGTGTGTGTGTGTGTGTGCTGTGACTGGGGGAGGGGGGGGGGGGGGGGGGGGGGGGGGGGGGGGGGGGGGGGGGGGGGGGGTGTAAGGGAGTGTAAAGAAGTGCTGAGCTCAGCTTGGCTAGAGGCCAGGGGAAGACGCTGTGCCCCAAGCCAGAGAAGTTTCTTCTCAGACAATGATACTTAATTAATCCCTTTTCCTGGATTGTGTCAACAATGCCTGGATTAGCCATATCTCTTTAATTCTCTCTGCACTGGGAGAAAATAGGGTGTCGGCTAAGGCACATCAATGGAGACATAAAGACACTATCAGATGTCATTTAGACTGTAATTTCTACAGATCCTCTACATCAATGGATATCATTAGTAACTCGCTGTGACAGGAGCCCAATGGCTGTCTTTTTCAAGCTCTTAATACACGGAAAGAGCATGAATGAGTGGTTGATACAAAAGACCATTTTCATATCTGTTCTGTCCAGTATAAATAGCAACATGCGATAACATAATGACATTAATAACATGAGATGAATGGGATGAATCACATGAGAGAAGGCTCAAAAGTAAAATGCAGGGATTAGGGATAAAACCCAAACTGACATACGGTGATTTTCACCCTCTCCTCCATTGTCTGTTGTGTGACACTTCATGCATCTGTCTGCATCCCTCTATCTTATCTTTCCAAGTTACTCGTCTTTTTCTTTGCATTTCCCAATCTGCCATCATTCTTTCACCCCCCCACCCCTCCAAGACTCTTTCTCTCGTCTTTTCCTGCCACACTAGAGACAGGCAATGTTGTGTGATTGGAATTTGTATGCCAGACGCAGAGAGTTAAACCCACATAATCTCCTTTCACATTTAACACACACACAGTCTATCCACTCTGTAATCGCACTGCTGTGGGAGGCCGGTGTCCGACTTCCCTGGTTCTCATGGTTGTGTGGGTGTGCAGAGGAAGGAGGGATCGGGGAGCCGGCGCAATATTGTAGACAGGACACGGGTGGCTGGTCTGGGGGAAAGGTGCTCAGGTGCAAAGGTGTTTGGATGCAACCGCGTGAGCAAGCGCGTATGTGAGTGCGTCTGTGAGGTCAAATGGATAGAGAGGTTAATGTTAAATGACTGCCTCAGTTCTTGATGTCAAACTCCACCAACAGCAGAGGCTGAAGCGTGCAGGAGAGAGATGCGATCGCTGCTCGAGGCTCAGCGGAGATGCCGAGGAGGTAGAGAGCCATTGTTCTCCTGCCTACCAGCTAAAATTGGAGCAGATCCTTTGCATTCAAAAATCGGAATTCAGGTCAAGTTCAATCCATCCTACCGTTCAAAACCATGTCAATCACTCTCACAGGCTGCTAGGCTGACTGATCTGCAATTTCAGCACCATGGAGAGCACCAGCATGCACCGCTGGGTGAGGAACACACGAAGTGTTTCCATACCAAGCAAATAAGGAGGAAGCTATTAGCAGACAGTACCAGTGACAGTGACCTGCTTCCCTCTGATGACAAATGCTACTTATAGAGGCAGAATATTTTCATGACAAAAACAATTTACTCTAGCTTTAAAAGCCCCCTTGAAAGAAATTACAACTGTATAAGAATCTGTGTTCACACTTTCACATCCCAAAATAATGTTGTGCTTCAGACAAGTGGTTCCCAGTCTTGTTTTTGTCCGATGCACCCCCAAAAGCCTCTACCAAATGGACTCAATTACCCTTTTCATTACACACCTTGGACAAACTGGATGGCCTTCATAAAGCTGTTGACTCTGAAGCTGTCCATGTTAAGGATTTGTCTCTTTTGTCTCTTTTTTAGTAGGTTTGGTCACATTTTCATCCATGTATTCATACTACTTCCATGCAGCTGGATGTGTCAACCATTCGTTACCGTCTATGTTCACTTTCATGCTCAATGGAAACTATTTTCATGCAAAACCTGGCTTTGGGAACTGCAGTCAGATTGTTTTAGCTTGACATTTACTGGGTAAAGATCAGATCACAAGTGGATATCTCTTAACTTTATTCATTTAATGAAATTGTAATCACTATTTTTTGTTTTTGTTTGTGTTCCACTGCGTTACTCCACAATCTTTCTAGGTACACGATGGTAACTGCAGAAGTAACCTATAGATTGAAACACCATGAAATTGCTCTAACAACAGTTATTGCTTCCAGGTAGACAACTGGAAAACTGATTTCAAATGTGGAGATCTGTGAAACTGGCAAGCTTGTTAATTTCTGTTGTCATTTTCAGCCATAACTAACATTAAAAGATACATAGTTGAACATTTGATGTTTCTGCTGTGCTTATTTTATGTACTTGATAAACCAAATCTGGCATGGAAGGTGAGCAATGAACTGCTATGGATGGAGGCCTCAGCAAAATGCTTTTTAGCCACCTTAAATGAACCAATCAGTTTAAGTGCACACTATATTTAGAATATTTTCACTGCTCTACCTCACATATTAACTGATCGAGGCAGTGGGAGACCAGCATCTCCAGTGTTCTGCAAAGTATAAGTACTGTTTTTGTCAATGGAGTCTGGTGGCTTTGAGATAACGTCAGAAAAAGCTGCCTGACAGTAAGGTAAAGCTGTGAGCATCTTCTAAATATAGCATACAATTAAACTGGTTTATTTTTTAGTCTGACCTTTTTTTAAGGTGGCTTTAAACTAACCGATCGAGGCAGTGTTTGCTCACTGCTATTTTATTTTATGTGTGAGA